CTTTACGTCCAAATTATTCAATATTATCCACGTAATTACATGTTCTATCGTTGTTAACAATCACATAACAACATCCTTGTTTGTAATATTTGAATAGGAGTGGAGTCTTAGTGAGTCACTATATTTTACATTTCTAGTGTGGGGAGGTGTGAAAAGATATTGTAATTATCTTAAAAATAGAGTGAAATTGTTCGGAGGTTGTCCCGTGGTTTTTTTCTCTACATTCGAAATTTTTCCACGTTAAATCTTGATGTCTTCTTTCTTGCATATTTATTTATTTGAATATTCTTAGTATTCTCTGTGGTCAAAGTTTATTCTGATCTTCCAAATCAGAAAAAAAAATTATTCATGTTTTATTACAAGAGATTTCTTTTATTATTGTTGAGTTGCTGGAATTGAGATTATTATTTACCATTTCACATCGGTGTTTTAATTTACACCTTCCGCATTTGGCCCAACAATAATTGGTTTACTCTGTAATTTCAAGCTAACAATACCATAATGACTCCAACAATGAGGGTCATTTACAAGCTAAAGCTGGCCAAAAAACAAGATTTATTGGCTAATGATAAGACATGATGGATGGATGGAAATGCAATTTAGTTCATAGACACGATATGAAACTGGCCATTTTAGCCAACAGGTTGGCCCCGTGTGACCAGCGTACTGTTATCCCATATAAATTCAACCGTATTTTAGTATCTGATTAAAGATTTTACCGTTCGAAAAAAAAATTCACTCGAGAGGGGAAAATTCGATCTTATCCCTATAGGAACTGTCCTCACGAATCATTTGACCACACGTGACACAGACTGTTGATCCAACAGTTAAAACAACTCCCATAAGACAAGTACGAAGAACATAAATTAAAAGAATTAATAGATTGATAATGACAAGATTGTATATATATATATATAGGGCATGTCAATTAATGATGGCCAAACATGTTTCCTATAGCAGCAGCTAATTAACACACATTAACTTGTAATTAAGCAAAGGTTACAGTTTTGGTTGACAAGAGAAGATATTAATTGGTGATATTAATCAGAAAAAATTTAGACTGAATTTAAATGTTTTGATATAACCACACTGCCATATATATGCACACATCCAATTGTCTATTGACACCTGGCATGATCATCACCCATATGCTTACTCTATTCAATTGGAATCGATGCCTAAAGATGTTATTAATGGTCATATATAGGGCTGGGCAAAAAATTCGAACCGAACCGCTGAATCGTAGATCCGAATCGAAATCGAACTGAATTTTCGGTTAACCGGGGGACTCGGTTCGGTTACAAATACCTCAAATGAAGTATTTGCTCGGTTCGGTTCGGTTACGGTTTTTAAGATTTTTTTACCCCGGTTAACCGAACCGAACCGTATATTATATTAAAATTTATAAAATATATATTATATTATATATTATACATTATAAAAATATTAAAATTTATAAAATATATATTATATTATATATTATACATTATAAAATATATATTTTATTAAAATATATATTATATTATATTATATATTATATATGATATTTATATTAATGTTTTCGGTTCGGTTCGATTCGGTTCGGTTTATTATTTGCGAACAAACAGATTTGTGTTAGGTTCGCTCGGTTCGGTTCGGTTCGGTTAATTCGCGAATAGTAGGATTTTTTTCGGTTAACCGAAAATTCGGTTAACCGAAAATTCGGTTAACCGAGATTTTCAGTTCGGTTTCGGTTAGCGAGTTCGAATATTTGCTCGGTTCGATTCGGTTAGCAAATACCTCAAAAAGTTCGGTTAACCGAACCGTGCCCACCCCTAGTCATATACGCATACATAAATATATTCTTACACCTCATATATATGATATCTTTCAATTGGTTGGAAAAAAAAAAATCTCATTCCCAATTTATTCTCGCTCTTTAATTAAAGGAAAATGATTCGGTTCCGTTACGGAACCATTCCGTCAAGGTTTGTAGCTGTTAGATCAACTATATTTGATGGTTACATGATGATCTAAATTCTAACGATTACAAACCCCGACAGAATGATTTCGTAACGAGACCGTAACATTTCCATAATTAAATGAGCCAATTGGGACCATAAGTTATAGAATATAATGATTCCATATGGGTAGATGAGACACATGAGTACTTATGCTATAGGTGGCAAGCCCCCAGCAGAGTTAAACCCACTAAATTCGAATACCTACATAACTAGTACAAGTGTATTACATGAGTGTTGAGTTAAAAAATCCTTGTTGGGAGACTCACCCACCACTGCTAGGTGTGCGATCCGGGTCGACCAACGAATCAGTCGGAGCATAACTCCGAATACCGTGGCTGGCTACCAAAAAAATATATATATTATAAAAGTTAGTGATAAATAAAAATTTTATTTAAAAATTTTGATGGACTAATCAATAAAAAAAAAGAGGAATAGATAGTGCATAAAGTGACTTGGAAATACTAAATCGTAATTTATGAGAGAAATATGAGAAAAAATTATAAGATAGTAAGATTGCTACTTGCCCAAATTAAGAAGAAATTTTGTACTAAGAGAAAAAAAAATAACAAAATTAAATGTACATTTTCCAAGTCTGAAAAAAATTATTTGTAATGTCTATACCAAGCCTAATTCCAAAGCAAAAAAATTAATATACAAACAATATTTCGAAGCATAGATTTTTGGTCATGTCAGCATCCGAAGCGTGTGAGTCAGCCACTTAAGTTCAACACGTTTTGAATTAATATATAAGGAGGGATTAGACCAATTTTCAGATAATATATATATTTCTTTTAGTAAAAAAAAAGGAAAAAAGGAAAAGAAAAAAAAAAGGAGGAGGAAAATTTTTAATTAATTAGTAGCCTTTTACGGCTGTATACAAAATTTCCATGCAAAATTTCATTTAATTCAACTCCATTATCCTCAATATTATCATATAATTAAATAATATCAAATAACCATTCTTACACATCATACCTACTTTAATTCATTATTCATCAACTCACATAACTTTAACTATCACTTCATATCATCTTTCTCTCCCACTTTTTACATAAGATCAACTTTAATTATTTTATTTTAATATAAATCCAAAATTTCACTAACAACTAACTATACTATATTTTTTCAAATTAACTTTGGTTAAAAAAAAAAATATATGAGGGAAAATTTTTGTATCCAAAACGCTTAATTTTACACATGACAGAAAGGGCTCATTTAGATTAATGTTCTTTAAACTGTATCTTCATATCATAATGTAGGAAGATACTACGGTTCCGTTACGGAATCATTCCGTCGATGTTTGTAACCGTTAAATCAACTATCTCTGATGGTTGCATGATTTAACGGTTACAAACCCCGATAAAATAATTTCTTAACAGGCGCAATTTGTACATTCATAGGATAGGTCAAGGCTCTTCGCTCCCTTCGGACAGGAATCAATCCACTTCAAACAACAACACATCAAAGAAAACAAAAACTACAAAAAAAAACATATACACACACACACACACATAAAGTTGATGACAATATTATTAATTAAGAATAATAAGTAATCACATAATATCTCGAACTTCGAATTGATTGCGATTCTTGACGACAATATCGTACATGTGGATGGACTTGAACTTGCAGAAATCCTTTGGAAGTGAAATAAGGTGAACTGTGGATCTCTTATGAAACTGCAAAAGGTGATGATGATGATGATGATGATGGTCCTCATTAATGTACCTTTCCCAGCCCAAGGACAACAATATCCTCTCCAAAACTGCGTATGATGTAATAACCTCGTTGGACGACACGTGGACCAATACCTTCTTCCGAGTACACTCCCCCGGATTCTCCACCAGACGTACCACGCCGTTTTTGAACACCCAAACTCCCGACATTATATATTTTTTTTTTTAAAAAAAAATT